GCAACTTTTGTCATAAGCCATTACCACATTCAAATGCGAAACTTGAAAAAACGTAGACCTGCATATACAATTTTCTGTCATAGGCTGTATAATCCATTAAGAAATTCAAATGCCAAATTTAAATCTATTCCGGTGAATAATGTCGTTAAAGCATCAAAATATTGAATATCGGCAGCTACCGTTATATGGGAGCTATACGAAAACGTGAGTTTGTATGAGCAATTTTCGGCCATAGGAAGCAGTACCCATCACGAACTCCAAATTTGGAATAATTCTGGGGAAAGTGTGGCTAAAATTGTCAAAATACCGAATATAGGGAGAACCAGTTTTATAGGAGAAATACGAAGATGTAGACCTGAATAAGAAATTTTCTCTCACAGGAAGCAGTACCCACCGTGAACTCCAAATTGCGAATTTGAAATAATTCTGGTGAAAATGTCAAAAAAAATCGTCAAAATACCGAATTTAGGGAGGTACACGAAGATGTGGACCTGTATAGACAATTGTCTGTCAGAGAAGGTTTCGTCTATTACGAACTCCAAAAAAAAAAATGTAGCTAAAATTATCAAAATACCCAATATAGGGAGGCTCAGATATATGGGAGCTATACGAGACGCAGTACCCATCGCGAACTCCAAATTCCGAATTTAAAATAATTCTGGTGAAAAGTGTGGCTAAAAATGTCAACATACCGAATATGGGGACGAACAGTTATATGGGCTCTATACGAAGACTTGATTTTGAATGGGCAATTTCCTGTCATAGGTAACAGCACACACCGGGAACTCCAAATTGCGAATTTAAAATAATTCTGGTGAAAAGTGTAGCTAAAATTATCAAAATTCCGAATTTAGGGAGCTACAAGTATATGGGAGCTACACGAATATGTAGACCTGTATAGACAATTATCTGCCAGAGAAGGTAGAGTCTATTATGAACTCCAAATAACAAGTTTGCCATAATTTCGTTAAGAAAATATAGCAAAAATTATCAAAATACCGAATATAGAGAGGTACAGATATATGAAGGCGTGGATTTGTGCAAGAAATTTTAAGTCATCGGAGTAAGTACCCCTTGCGAATTCCAAATACCAAATTTAAAAGAATGGGCGAATACTGCCCATTTCGTGTTTGGCTTAAGTCTGATATAAATATTACAACATGTCAGATTTGGACTATATCCACTAACTCCTTCACTTTATGTTGAAATCTACGCGAGATACCAGATATAGTGGACCGAAATGTTGCACATCCTCTAAAACTTAAAGAAAATCGAACATTATTTTATTTTATGCGAATATTTGTAAATCCAAATTATAACCTTTTGTGGCGGAAGTACCAAAAGGATATTACGATAAATTCCTTATTCACATCAGAACATTGGTTGAGAGAAATATTAAGATCCATGGTTATTAAAAACTTGCACTCGTTGTGTGTAAGATACCAGAAGGAATGGTCCTATATATCCCATCTTTATATCAGACCTTGTGTTAGTAGAAATATGGATATGTGCAAAATTTGAAGACTTATATCGCCCATTTTTACAACTGACCTTGGACTGGTGAATATATTAGGATTTGCAAAGTTTGCACAAACAGACAGACAAATGTACGCCTCTAGATCGACTGCAAAATGCCCTGAGACGTATTTGTTCCAAAGGGACGTAGGGTGTAAACCCGTTATTTCGAAGAGGCACGTTTTGGCCATGTCAAATGATATATACCCTCTGTAGCCATATGGCTGAGGGTATAAAAATTGTGTCAAAACGAATGGCCTAACACGAGCTGTTGGAACGAATTTTTTAGGCGGACTTTTCGCTGATGAATTATTGGGCACTTGTTGAATATTATTACAAAATACTGTTCGTTATTCGAAATCCAGTAAATTAGTATGAATTGGAGATGCAAAAAAATAGTCAGTAAATATTATGCCCTATCTTCAAAATTGTTGTACCATGCCCATGGGCTGTTTGTTTTAGATACAGCAATTGACATTTTACCAGAACAACATTGTTGATATGGAAGCAAAAAAGTCATTTTGAAAAACAGATGAATAACAAAAGTTTTAACTTACCCAACAAGCAGGATATATACAGGGTAACATATGTACACTGTTGACGTCTTCCTTCAATATATTAATAATTGAACTACGCCGCTGTAAAAATTTATATTATAATATTTGTCAAAACAATTTTACCCCTAACTTACCTTTTTAAGGTGTTACTGATTGAATTTGTCCGAAAAAACAAGTACTTTAAAGTAGGTTTCCGCTTTTTTTGGCACCTTAGGCATGCACGACTCTTCCAAAAGAAGTGTTCCAAGAGAAGTGTTTACATTCTCCTTCCAACCGGTGTCGACAAAATCGTGGTACATTTCGAAGGTTTTCAAGAAATACGCAGTTAACTTTTATTTATCACTCAGATGGTGTCTTTTTTTACGATTGACCGTTTTAGCAAGCGCAGTCTCCCAGTAAATCATCGTAACGTTCTCTGGCACAGTAAAAAAAGTTACTTTTTCCCGCATTTTTTCTTCTTGTCAACTACAATTGCCGCGCTTTTTTTCGGCCTAAGAATTCCTGTTTTACAAATTGTTAAGTTGATTGCATAGAGACAATTTGAAATTTAAAATTAAATCGGTAACGTTCAAAGCAAGGCAATATTGAATTTAAATTTCACTACTTCACTCACAAACCACGATAAAAGGTTACAAACTATCTTGTAGTCATTTACAACTTAAATTATCTTAAGTATTAAACACAGCATACCCGACGCTTTAAACTTTTTTTTAAACTTAATCTTCAGAAGTCGATATATGTACTGACGGCTATCAGTTTCCTTCATTCTATACTCTTTCATGTCTTCCATTTCCAACATCCTCTCAACTCTCCCTCTTTATTTTCCTATTACCTTTCGTAAACTTGACCGTTTTGTTGTCTTATTATGATTTATATGATTTGTTGGGCATTATGTCTTATTTGATACATTTGGAACGCTTTTAGTTTTGGTGGTACAAGTTTTTGCATTGAATTTCTAGCAGTCGATATATGTGCTGACGGTTATCAGTTTCCTTCTTTCCATTTCTTTCGTACCTTGCATTTCTGTCATCATCTCATTTCTTCCTCTTTGTTTTCTTATTCTCATTCGTAAACTTTGTCGTTTTGTTATATTATTATGTTTTATCAGGCATTATGTCTAGAATTTCTTATTTGATTCGTTTGGAACGTTTTTAGTTTTGGTGGTACAAGTTTTTGCATTACATTTCTAGCAGTCGATATATGTGCTGACGGTTATCAGTTTCCTTCATTCCATTTAATTCGTACCTTGCATTTCTGTCATCATCTCAATTCTCCCTCTTTGTTTTCTTATTCTCATTCGTAAACTTTGTCATTTTGTTATCTTCTTATGATTTATCAGGCATTATGCTAGAATTTCTTATTTGATTCATCTGGAACGTTTTTAATTTTGGTGGTACAATTTTTTGCATTGCATTGCCGGGAGCCGGATCTCTGCCAGCTTACGATGGCCATTGTTTTGGGTGGTGGCTTAAGCGGCCTGTCTGCCGCATACTATCTGCTCAAGAAATTCGGCCAACCAACAGCCATTTTTGAAGCTTCCAGTCGCATTGGAGGATGGATCAAAACGGAAAAACACAAGGACAGAGGCTTCATTTTTGAAGCTGGGCCACGTACGATAAGGCCCAAAGGTATATCCGGTGCAAACACCTTGGAAATGATTGAAGACCTGCAATTACCTATCGAAGCGGTTACATCGTCTCATGTTGCTGCTAAAAATCGTATGATTTATGCTAAAGGTCAACTGTGCATGTTACCGAACAGTCTAAAGGGGGTGTTGCAAACTATACCACCATTTAGCCAACCCCTGGCAATGGCACTGTTCAATGATTTGAAGTCTGGTCCGAAAAAGATTAAATTTGGTGATGAGTCAATTTATGATTTTGTCAGTCGACGCTTTGGCAAGGAGTTGGCGGACTATGCAATTAGTCCCATGATCTGTGGCATTTGTGCTGGCGATGCCAAGGAAATCAGTGTTCGTTTCCTAATGGACGAACTGTTCGACAAGGAACAACGATATGGTGGTGTTATGAAAGGCATATTTCTAAGTAAATTGAATGATAAGAAGAAGGATAATGCAGGTACTTCGAAGGGCTTGTTCCAAGACAAGCAACCCACAATGTTTAAGGAGGCAGTGAAAAACAAATGGACCATGTACAGAGTCAATGATGGCCTAGAGACCTTGCCGCGCACCCTAAACGATTATTTGCTTGCAAAAAATGTAGAGGTCAATTTGACATCTGAATGCCGGGAAATAGTGTTTGGCGAGAACTCAGTGCGTTTGAACATAAAGGGACAGGATGTGGAGGCCAAACATGTTGTCAGTTCCATACCAAGCTTCAAGTTGGCAGCTTGTGTAAAAGATCAACATCCCGGATTGGCAGGGCAGCTAATGGCCATACCTTACGTAGATGTGGCCGTGGTAAATCTACAATACAACAGCAAAGATTTGTTAAAACAACCAGCATTTGGTTTCTTGGTGCCGCCCTTGGAAAAGAGACCAATATTGGGTGTTATATTTGATAGCTGTATCTTCGATATGGAGGAGAACACCGTCATAACAGTTATGATGGGTGGAAAGTGGTTTGAACAGTACTATGGACAAAATCCCACACAAAAAGATCTACTCGATATTGCATTACGAGAAGTTTCCCAGATTTTGGGAATAGAACAAGAACCGAAAATGTCACGTGTCCATATCCTAAAGAAATGCATTCCCCAGTACAATGTGGGCCATAAACAACGGGTCCAAGATATACGACGCTATATACAACGTTATAAGTTACCCATTTCGCTGTGTGGGGCTGCCTACGATGGTGTCGGCATAAATGATGTTATCTTATCGGCCCGCATGAGTGTAGAAGGTATGCCAGTGCTACATTAGAACTTTTAAAGACAATAATTATGTACCTATTTTAAACAAACGATTGATGAAAGCTTAAACAATATTTATTGTTATTTACATTTTTATATTGACTATTAAATAATTAATATAAAATTCCTGGAGGAACTTGTTGAACTAATTTCGTTTTGTTTTTTTTTATTTACCAAAACCACCCCGGCAATTGGGACTTGGTTCAAGGTTATAATCCGGAGACCATTGTTTGGGGGTCTTAGCATCGATTGAGAGTGCATGCGGGAAAAGGTCAGCCAGTTTCTCCTTCACGATGTTGTTTACCAAGCGGTGGCGCTGTAAAAAGGTTTGTTTTTTTAATTGTGGTCGATCCAATTGCTTTGCAACTCACCTTTATGAGCGGCAACTCATTGAATTTGTCGGAAACAACAAGTACTTTAAAATGGGTTTCCGCGTTCTTCGGCACATTGTGCATGTACGACTCATTCACTACTTCCAAGTGGAGAGGTTGTAAATTGTCCTTAAGCGTAGCCACAATTGCTTCTTCAACTGGCCCAGGCTTTCCAACTGCAGCGGTACTCATTCTTTTTGTCAAATGTAGAGGTATAGCTGAAATTTGTTCAATTTCTTTTGTGAAATTTCCTTATCATTCAAGAGACACAACTCTACTCACATCTCAACATTCTCTACTTTAGAATCGTTCCAAGAATACGAAGAAGTAAGACAAAGAAGAATGACTGCGAAAAACCAGTGCAAAGCAAAACAATGACCGACTGTTCTTTATTTACGAATGGCTGAGATGCAAATTAAAGAAAACAATCAGCTGTCTGAAAGTAGTGATCGATAGATCGATTTTTAACAAATCAATTTGAAAAATGTTCGTTAGGCAATAGTAGGTTCATCAATGTAATTTTTTGGTCAAAAGTAATCGGTTTTGCCGACAAATTTATACCCCCAGCCTTGGGTTATGATTACTCAAACCGTTTATCCTTTATGGGGAAGGTTCCGGAGCGAATGGAAGAAATTGACCAATTCGTACTTAACCTAAAACTGATAAAGAAAAATTACAACCTGCCCGATTTGGACTATATCGACTACGTCCTATACTTTATATGAGATATGTGCAAATCTTTGGAAACTGTGGAAATCATAAATTCCCATAAAGTACTTTTTCATATCAGATTTCTGGTTAAGAGAAATATTTAGATATAGCAAATTGTAAAAAATCGTCGACTTGTTTCGCAAATTATGACAGATATAAGTATAGAAAGATTTGACCCTTTATGGTTGAGGTACAAAAACAGATTGACAGATATCTGTCATCTTCACAAGAGATTTTGCGTAAGTAAAAATGTTTGAATGTGTGAAACTTGAAAAGGGTTATATGCTAATATCGCTTTCTTTGAGCGTTTTGTTTTTCAAAATCTTAAACCCTATGTGGGTGAGGTACCAGAAGGAACGGTCCGATTTCTATCATCTTTATAACAGATCTTGTGTTGATAGAAATATTGAAATGCGCCAAGTCTGATTGAGATCGGATGTTAATTTCTAGTTTTATAAGCTTCATGAATATTCAAAATTTTGACCCTTTATGGGGGAGGTACCAGAAGGAGTGGAACGATATATTCCATCTTTACAACAGATCTTTTGTAAGTAGAAATGATGGAATGTGTGAAATATAAAGAGAACCTGATGCTTATTTCGGATTTTATAAACGTTTCGGTTATTCAAAATTTTGACCCTTTGTGTGTGAGGTACCAGAAGGGGTTATCAGATATCTATTATCTTCCCAGCAGATCTTGTGTTAGTAAAAATAATGGCATGTGTGTAATTTGAAGAGAGATATTCAAAACTTCGACCCTTTGTTGGGGAGGTACCAAAAGGAATGGTCCAATCTCTACCATCTTCATAACAGATCTTGTGTAGATGGAAACATTGAGATGTACCAAGTCTAAATTGAATCAGATGTTGATTTGGCTTTATATGAGCTTCATGAATACTCAAAATGTTGACCCTTTGTGGGAGAGGTACCAGAAGGGGTGCACCTATATATACCCATATTTACACCAGTCCTAGGGTTAATAAAAATATTGTGATGTCTGCAATTTGAAAAGAATCCGATGCTTATTTCGGATTTTATGATGGTTTTGGTTATTCAAAAGTTTGAGCTCTTGTGGGGGAGGTACCAGAAGGATTGATCCGATTTCTATCATCTTTTTAACAGATCTTGTGCTGGTGGAAATATTGGGATGTGCCAAGTCTGAATGGAATCGGATCTTAAGTTCGCGTTTTAGGAGCTTCGCGAATATTCAAAATATTGACCCTTTGTAAGGGAGATACCAGAAGGAGTGGACCGGTGTATCAGACCTTGGGTTCATAAAAATATTGTGATATGTATAATATGAAGACGATCGGACACTTACATCACATTTTATTCGATTTATAATTATTCAAAATGTTGACCATTTGTGGGGGAGGTACTTGATGGAGTGGAGCGATATTGTCCATTTTTCGCACCTGACCTAGCACTGATGTAAATATTAGGATTTGCAAAAAATCAGAGATTTGAACTCTCAAATCTCTTAATAACCTTACCATTTGTTCTCATGGAGATTTTCATTAACCTTATAAACAGATATTAACAATTGTTTTCTTTTTTATTTACGCTCAAGCTAAGTTTAGCCACGCTAATTTATTAAATCCGATAACAAATTGCTTTATTTTGTTTTGTTTTTCTTCAGGCTTTGTAAAAAGATTATAACATACGTACGTACTGTTTTTTTATCTTCATATTGTACTTAGAAAATAGTTTGCAAAAATTTTAAAAGAATACGATAATAGAAGAAAACAAAAATAAAGGAAATTATAAGGAAAGGAAATTAAAACAACGTTAGCATTTAATAGTCCACCAATTTCTTCAATTTTGGTGGAGCTGAAATAACAACGCGACTACGACTGGTAGACGTTGTTGAAGTGGAGGTAGATGAAGATTGTTGAGTTTGTTGCGCTCGTTGCTGATTGGAATCGTCAATGCGTTGATGATCCCCCCTGTTGCCTCGATTCGATCTATCTCTGTCAGAGCGATCGCGTCCCATGTCACCCATGTCTCGATCGGAACGGTAACGATCACTGCCGCCACCATGTCTCTGTCTTTCTCGTTCTCGTTCCCGATCCCGGTCCCTCTCCCTTTCACGTTCGGTCCTATCTCTGATACGGTCGCGATCACGATCATTTCGTGAACGTGACCGCCGATGGCGATCATCATATCGAGACCGTTCCGATGCGAAACGTGTTGAACGCTCCTGGCTGGAGTCACGATATCGTCTTGAGCGAGACATACTTCGTCTACGTCGCCTTGAACTACTACGTCGATTACGTGACTGCGAACGTGATTTGGGTTGTCGGCTAGAGCGACTTTCTGATCTCCTACCTTCACGACTGCGCGAACGTCTTCTAGTTGCAGGGGAAGTGCGTTTTGGTTCCTGTTCTGTTCGTCGCGTTGTTGGTGGTGATTTGCGCAGCGATCTTTCGCTGCTGCGGGATTTACTGCGCTGGTCTCTTGCACTAGCAATGGCTGCAGCATATTCCGATGCTTCACTTTCAGAAGCTTTGCTATTCGGGGTGCCATAACGGTGACGAATTTCGCGTTGCCTGAAAAAAACACCGAAAACAATACAATTTAAAATCAGTAAGGAAAAGCCAAATGTCGGGCGGGACCGACTATATGATACCCTACATCCTATCGCATATTTAGTAGAGCTCCCGTAACAAGAGAATTTATTTGAAGTTGAAAATACCTTCTTTGGCTTTAGAGCAGTAATAGTTTGGTTTCAGAGGGAACAAATATATTGGAGTCATATCCAATTCTGAACGATTTTCACTTAATTTGACGGATACATGTTTATCTTTTATACCAAATAACAGAAGGGAAGGATTACTTTTAAAACATATATATCGGAACCGAGTTCCAAAAATTAGCCATTATTTGCGCAATAAACCTGAAATCGGATTAAGGATATATATGGGGGCTATATCCAAATATTAGCCGTTCTTTGGCAGAGGTATTTCTGAGCTCTACGAGAAATCTGGAACCAAATATCATTGTTGTCGAATGAATATTACGCATGTGAGGGACTTAAACATATATATGGGAGCTATAGCTATATCTGGACCGATTTTCTCCAAATTTGATGTTCTTGTTTCTAGACTGAATTCGGTAGCATGTACCAAAATTCCGGTAATTTGGACTTATATTGGCCATTTGGGGCACAATTAACACGAAATCGGTTGAAGATATATATGGGAGCTATATCCAATTCTGAACCGATCTTGACAAAATTTGACAAAGGCATTTCTGAGGTCTATGAGATATCTGGTACCAAACATCATTGTTGTCGAATGCATATTACGCATGTATGGGAGCTATAGCTATACAGGTAATTGGGACTGATACTGGCCATTTGGTCCACAATTAACCCGAAATCGGTTGAAGATATATGTGGGAGCCATATCCAAATCTGAAACGAACTTGACAAAATTTGATACACTTACTTCAGAGCTGTATCTGATATCTGGTACAAAAGATCATTGTTGTGGAATGCATATTAAGCTTGTGAGGTACTTAAAACTCCAAATCGGATGAAACATATGTATGGGAGCTATAGCTATATCTGAACTGATTTTCCCCAAATTATATGTACTTGGATGTACCAAAATTCAGGTCATTTGGACTTATATGGACCATTTGGTGCACAATTAACCCGAAATCGGTTGAAGATATATATGTGAGCTATATCTAAATCTGATCCGATTATCACCAATTTCAATAGGGTTCGTCCTTGGTCCAAACAAATATTGGTTGGAAAATTTCATCTCAATCGGATAATAAATGCGACCTGCATGTTGTTCACAAGAATACATAGACGGACGGACGATCTATGAAGATCATCAAAATAACTATGGGTCTGTCTCGCTTCCTTCCCCATACCGCTATGTGGTGTAGGGTAGACAAATGTGTGAATTGAAAGTTATATACACTGGAGCTCCGATTTGCGTCCGGTACACATTACCCTTCTGCTCGCCATTCTCAAATTTAAAAAAATCGGTTTTCACTTATTTGCCTTACCTTCTTCTCAATTTGATGGCCAATTCACGCATCTCCTCATATCTTTCTTGTTGCATTTGGCGTTCCCTTTCGGATTTTTCAATTTCCGCTTTTTTATCTGCCTTATCTGTAACAACAAAGCATTGATTAGTAAAAAAAACTAATTCTACGGGAATATATATATCCATTATTTGTAATTGTTGGTGTACTGTACACTTGTCGCTTACATTGCTTGTTAAGCAAATTCTGCATTTTCTTCTTAAGGCGTTCACGCAAATTCAAACGACCACTGGAAACTGTAGCTGCGGTGCTGCCAGCTGAGACACTTGACGAAGTACCCTGCAAGAAGCCACTTGATCAAATTAAAACGAGCTCAATTATACAAAGCTAGTTCAGAAAAACAATATTGAAGCTAATGTCCGATTACAAGAGGAGAAAACAAAACAAAACAAAAAATACGTCTAAATCCAAATAAGTCCAAGAGTATGTAAACAATTAATTTTCGTTTGGGTCGTTTGGTCGATTTCTTGTCACCGTCGTCAATGTTCAGTTTTGTGGTAGATTTTGATTCGCTAATTTCACTACGTAGATTGTGGTCCTCTGTTGTTGTTGTTGTGTGAAGCATTGCAATTATTTGTTGGTTCTTACTGACTTTGGTCTCGGGAGCATTACTAACT